TAATGTTGAACCATCCCTGCATACCTGGTATAAATCCCACTTGGTCATGGTGAATTATTTTTTTGATATGTTGCTGAATTCTATCGGCTAAAATTTTGTTGAGGATTTTTGCGTCAATGTTCATGAGGGATATTGGTCTGTAATTTTCTATTTTTGTGGTGTCTTTACCTGGTTTTGGTATCAGGGTTATGCTGGAGAAGCCCTTATTTTTACATTAAAACCCATATAGTTTTTGAAACACTTCTGTTATTTAAATTTGTGACTTCAAATGGGTGATGTGCAAAGATGCTTTGATATATCTGATTCTTGCAGAAATAATGCAGATTGGCTTCTGAGTCACTAAGCAATCTTTGTGGGAGTCAACGTAAAGAAAAATAGATTAATACACATTTGTATGAATTTTTTTTAAATCCTCAAATAGTCACAAATATCCAGTAATGCAAGGATTTTAGTAATACCGTACAAAAGAAAAAAAAAAGCCAGAAATTACATTTACGTTTTAAAACATGGACTTTTATGCCATGTCTATTACATAAAATGTATAAAATTCTCATTTACATACATGTATTACTTCCAAATATATATTTTCAGCTTGGTGGTATATCTAGTTTGAAAAATAACTGATCATCAAGAAACGAAACAAACATGCAAGGGATATAAAATTGCTAATTTACAAATGTATATATAGAAAAATAATTTTAGATATAGAATTTAAGATGCTTTACTGCCTGAGATTTACTGCAAGAATCCTCTTTAAGCTCAGTCCTGGAATTCTGATGAAGTCTCTGAGCAAGACACCCCCATTACTGCAAACTACTTAATTAATGAACATGTAATTAAGCAGAAAAGAAATAATTTAACTGGTTATATGGGAATCTATACCTTCCCCTGGCTGCTAAATCATGAATGCATCTAGAAAGACAGACAAATGTCTGTATCTACATAATCCTCAAAGTTTTAAGTAAAAATTCACAATATTGATATCATTTCTCTCTCTCAAAATTTATAAATCCAAACAGTCACAGCAGTACAGACACACATTATTATTTTGTTTAATAAACAAGACAACATATCACAGAAGTGATCCCTGAATGTGTTTGAAGTTGGTCTTTATAAATTAAGAAATGTATATTTAGACTTATGTTCCCCCTGAAGTCACTATACCCAGTCTTGTCTGCTTGTTAGGCTATTGCAAAACGGCACTCACCAGTACAAGGCAGCATGCATATAGCACTGTGCAATGGTGAACTGCATAAACAATGTCACCAATCGCTCTCCAATATAAAATGAGAAGCAACAAATCTGTAAGAAGGAAAATTTAGTAAGATATTCCATAGGAAAAAAGCTGCATTGTTACCCAAATGTATTTAACTCTTTCCTTTGGCATTTCATCACTGTCTACTCCGAGTCCACAGAAGTTTATTCAATACCTCAGCTAGTCCACCATCCCACTTTATTGTAAAGTATCTGCTTTGACAGAATTGTCTCACCTACTATGGGGTTGGGGGGTATTGGTTGGTACAGTGGTAGAATTCTTGCCTTCCATTCAGGAAACCCAGGTTCAATTACCAGTCAATGCACCTCATGCTCAGCTACCATCTGTCCATCAGTGGAGTCTTGAGTGTTGCTATGATGCTGAATAGGTTTCAGCCGAGCTTCCAGACTAAGACTAGGAAGAAATGCCTGGCGATCTAATTCCAAAAAAGCAGCCAGTGAAAACCCTATGGATCACAATGGTCCTATCCCAGTGTGCATGGAGTTGACAATACATATCTAACAACAAAACACCCACTATACTGTGGTTCCTTCAGGATGACAGCCAAGTTGTAGGCATCTTTATACTCGCAGAATCTAGCACCAAACCAAAAACCTGTTGCCATCAAGTCAGTTCCAACTTATGATGATGAGGTGTGTTACAGAGTAGAACCAAGCTCCAAAGTGTTTTCTTGGCTGTGATCTCTGAAGAAGCAGATAAGCAGAGCTTTCTTCTGAAGTGCCACTGGGTAGGTACGAACCATCAACCCTTCAGCTAGCAGCCAAGCACAAACCATTTGTGATACCCAGGGACCCACAGCATCTCGTGTATAGACATGTAATATAATATGAATGAATATATGGATAACCTGTTTCCAGTGTTAAATAAAATAAAAATATTATCTAATAATAAGTTTTTAAAAGCCTGTATTATTGATTTTCACCATTACCTTAATTCAGACAGTGATAAGATAGTGGCAGAAAAGGTAGGAAATGACCAACTGATTTATAAAACAAATTCAACAAAAAATATAGAAAGTGAACAAAGGACAAATTAAATATTAATTTAAAATGGCAAAAGCACCACGAGGTCATATCATCAGTTTTCCCTTAAAACGTCCTGAGTTGAAATACCATGATTTAGGAAATATAATGAAACAGAAACGTCTCAAAATGTCAATGTAACTTTTTATTTTTTGTCTTTTTAACTTACTGGTTAAAATGAAATTTAGACAGGGAAACAAATGGCTAACATGGATGGACACAAAGGGGAGGATTCAGGTTTTGTGAGGTCTAAAGCTTATATAAAGTGGGACCTTCTCTTACAAAAATACAAATAAAAAATTAGATATGAATACTTACAAAGAGGAAATATATAATCAAATCACAAAAGTTAAAGAGAAAATAAATACCACAAATGTGAAATATCAAGTAAAGTAATAGAACAGCCCTGGTGGCACAGTGGTTAAGAGCTCGGCTGCTAACCAAAATACTGGCAGTTCATATCTATTAGACGCTCTTTGGAAACCCTATGAGGCAGTTCTACTTTGTCCTATAGGGTCGCTATGAGTTGGAATGCACTTGACAACAATGGGTTTTTTTTTTTTTTTTTTAAATTAACAGTCTGATCTACGTCTCCAAGTACATTTTGCCTACATATTTTGGCTGCACACTCTTTGGTCATTAATTTATATGACAATTTTATAATATTTTCTGTAGAGTAGAGAGAATAAAAAGAATTCACTTTTCATTCAGCTTTAAAAAATTTCTGGTAGTTAAAAATTTCTTTCAGCTTCATAGCTCTTGTTTGTAAATTTTTTGGATCATCTTATTTGAGAAAATCTTTATCAAGTTTCTTTCACACAAGATTTCCTGGGTAGTAACAACTTTCAGAATTGACACCATTCATTAACCAGTGTATGTGGTGTATTATGAATTTTGTGTTATCCTGGACAAAGACAGAATTTTATGTCACACCAGAAAATCTTTTTCCAATGTCTTCCCATGATTCACTCTTCTTTTAATTGAATTATTAAATAAGCCAATAACCTATTAATTATTTCTATTCAAAATTTATCTCTTCCTCTTACTGAATTGCTGCATTTTGGTATGATCTAATTCTTTTGGTTACAATTCACTTCTCAGTGGCAGAAAAATGTTTATTGATTTCATCATTTATCATTTTTGTCTCATATTCCATTATTTTTATTTGATTTTCTCTCAATTTTTTAATAAACTTAAAAACTACAAAATAAAGTTCCTATATAAATGTTCAAATCAGGAATCTGTTATTTATCTCTTGTTTTATTGAGATGGGCCAAATGTCTTTTGCAGCTAAAATGACATGTTCCCAATTTCCCCATTATCTAATCATACAAATGCCCTTGACCACTCCGACTCCATCTAACATGAAGGGAAATATGAGAGAGGTGAATGTGGAGTAGAAAAAGTCTGGATTGTAATTGATCGTGGCTAAAACAGCTTACTTTTGCAAATTTTAACAAAACAATCAGCATAGGAACACAATTTAAGGACCTTTGCAAGTAAGAGACTCTGAAGCTTAAAATTCTTTAGCTTCACAATTAATTTCACCTGAGAGACTCTTAGGCCACAAAGGGACCAAAAAAAACAAAACCCAAACTCACTGATTCCCACCCATGGCAACCTCATGTGTTACAGAGTAGACCTGAGCTCCACAGTATTTTCTTGGCTGTAATCTTTATGGAAGCAGATAGCCAGGCCTATCTTCCATGGCATCACTGTGTGGGTTCAAACCGCCAACCTTTTGGTTAACAGCCGAGAGCAAACTGTTTGCATCACCCAGGGACCTACAAAGGGCCTGTCACTAGTAAAAAATGTCTGGGCTTCTGTTGTCTGGGGCTTCACTCTTCAGCTGTGATCTTCATGTGAGATCAGGAGGAGTTGAGAAAGCCAACTTTTTTTCTCTATATGGATTCTAAAAGCTTCCTCCTCAAATTAATAAACCAAAAGCATACACTATGCATTCTTTGCATAATTCCACAAGTATTTTAAAAAGAAGTAAACAGTAAACCACATAACACATACCAGAAATGAGGTAGCCTGTAGTAATAGCAATATTCACATTCCCAAGTAATGAATCACCCCTATAAATATTAAAAAAAAAAAAAATTAGCACATGGCTTATAAATGATGCCTACTTTTTTTTTTCTATTGAGATTTAAATGTAATGAAAACACTTTCTGTAGTTTTCTCAGATGTTAACTTGCCATTTTCAAATATAAATCATAGACAGAGCCAACATGGCACTATAGACAGAAGCACCATGCCGTCCCTCTGCAGCAAAGTTCTGAAAAACTACTAAAACAGATACCAACGTCAATCCTGGAACTCTGAAGTACCAAATAAAGGAATAAAGAACTTGATCAAGCACTGAATGGAATAAGAAACTGACAGAGAACAAGGAGAGCTATGGAGTGGAGGTCCTGTACTAGCTAAAGTGGTCAGATTTGCCATCTTGGGCTTCTGCTGCCAAAGAACTCAGACAGGGAGTACGGGAAGGAGAGTACACGGAGCTCCCAACAGGAGACAGAGCACCCAGTAACCAGGGATACATGCTTTCCCACCCCTTACCCTTCTTCCCTCTATGGTCCCCACTGCCATGGTTGCTCACCCGGTCTCTCACTGCCTCCGAGGTTTGCCCTCGCCCCACTGGCTGGCCCCTCCAGCCCCATATTTTTTTGTTTGTTTTTTCAGTTTGTATTTTTGTTTCTTTTTTCTTTTCTTTTTTTTTTGGCTTCTTTTGTTGTTGTTGCTTCTCTAGCCCCATATGCCATCCCCTCCCCTTCTTGACAGCCTGCAATTTTTTTGGTTTGTTTGCTTTGTTCTTTTTTTAATTTTATTTTTTTGCTTTTTTTGTTGCTTTTCTCTCTCTCCCTTCCTTCCTACTCTTTCTCCCGCCCCGCTAGCCCCATGTGCCATCCCCTCCCCTTACTAACAAAAGCAAACCAAACTCCTTGCCACTGAGTCAATTCTAACTCATAGTTACCCTATAGGATAGAGTAGAACTGCCTCATAGGGTTTCCAAGGAGCAGCTGGTGGATTTGAACTGCCGACATTTTGAATAGCAGCTAAGCTCTTAACCACTGCACTACCAGTGTCAGGCTGTGATTTTTGGTTTGTTTGCTTTGTTCTTTTTCTTGTGTTTGGTTTTGTTTGTTTGTTTGCTTTTAGATAGGGTGTTTTTGGCCCTTTGTGTTGCTTCTTTCTTCCTTCCTTCCTTTCCTTTCTCCTACCCAGCTAGCCCTGTATGCCATCCCCTCCCCTTCTTGACAGGCTGTGTTTTTGGTTTGTTTGTCCTTTTTTTCTCTTCTTATTTTTCTGTTTCTTCTCTCTCTCCTTTCCTTCCTCTCCTTTCTCCTGCTCACCCAGCCTTGTGCACCATGCCCACATTTATGGAGGGGCTGAGCTGCACAGCTTGGTTGGAGAGTAACTGCACGTGGCCTCCCCAGGTCTGTGCCACCATCACCTACCAGATCCCTCAATGACATTCTATTCATTGTTTGTTTTTTTTTGGTCTTTTTTGGTTTTTTTTGGTATTGTTTCTCCTCTTACTCCCTCTTCCTTCCTTTTCTCTCTCCCATCCATCCAGCCCTGTGCACCACCTGCAACTTCTTGACAGGCTGTATGGCACCGCTCCGCTTGGCTTAAGAGCCTCTGGCACACAGCCTCCCCAGGTCTGCACTGCCCACAGACAGCTTCCTCAGCACCATAATTTATATTTTTCTTTATCTTTTCTCTTTTCCTTTTCCTTCTTTCTCATACCTAGGCCCTTCACTGCCTCCACCCCTTCCTGACGGGCCATACCATGCCACCTGGCAAGAAAGACATCAGCTTGCCTCCACTCCAGTTCTGCCCTGCACCCAAAAGTCGGCACACCCACTACCATATTTGTTTGTTGTTGTTGTTTTCATTTTTTAAATTTGTTTGATTGTTGGTTTCTTCTCTCTCTTTCCCCCTTTCCTTTCCTTTCTCCCACCTACCTAGCTCCATGAACCACCCACGCTGCTCCTTGACAGGCCAAGCCACACTGCTTGGCTAGAGAGCCACCAGCACATGGCCTTACTGGGTCTCGCTCACCCCCACCAGCCGGATCCTACTACACTGCCATTTTATTTACTTTTTTTTTTACTTCATTTTTTGCCTTTTTTATTTCTTTTTTTGCCTTTGTGTCTCTCTCTTCACTCTCTTCTTTCACCCACCTACTTAGCTCTGCATATCACATCCTCTCCTTTCCTTCCTGCTTATCTGCACTGTGAGCCAAGTGCGACGCCCCCGCGTGGTACCAATGTGGTCCTCCAGACCCTACCCTGCACTTCCCCCCTGCCTTGTTCTGTCGCCCCCAGTTCGTACCAAAAACTACCATCCCCACCACTCCACTCCTGCTGGACCCGCCCTGCTGCAACAGAGCTGAGTGACCAGCCTTACTCACTTGAACAACATGGTGAGAAGTATCGTGCCCACAGGCATGTGAGCAACAAAACACACCAGCCCATCTGCCCAGATATAACCATCAAAACAAAAAAGAAGGATGAAACAATCAAATCTACAATCAATAAATGAAGCTCCTAGTCCGGGGGAAGATTGACAAGAAGGACCTTCCTCCAGAGCCAACAGAAAGAGAAACCCTTCCCCTGGAGCTACACCCTGAATTTGAACTTGTAGCCTACTAGACTGTGAGAGAATAAATTTCTCTTTGTTAAAGCCATCCACTTGTGGTACTTCTGTTACAGCAGCACTAGATAACTAAGACACAGGCATACGCTTTTCCCAGGATAATCTCCACCCATAGCCCCTGAGAAAACCTTGTAGCCTTCCTATCTGAGATGACTCATTTTAATCAAGAGATCTTCTGTAGTCCATAATTTTCCTGAAATTTACTCTAGTCCCAAGCCAGTCTCCAAAATTTCCTTGAGAATAAATCATCAACTCTTGGTATTCAGGCTAGGCTCAAATTCTCTAAAGTACCTAAAGCCAATTCATAATGAGTTCCCTGAATTAGAAGATCTCAAACCTCTTGAGGGTGGCTAAAAGTTTACAATGCATTTTATACTAAACCCAAGTTTTAAGAACTATTCCCAGAATCTCCAAATCCAGGGGGGTAAAACAGAGTTTTTAGGTTTTTTTTATTGTTTTTTTCCCCAAATTTGGAAGCCATCGTCCACACCAACAGAGGAATTTATGATGGGCTTTGGCAGATATCTAAGGGCCCACTACAGCTGACATTGCACTGTATTAAGTCAATTAAGGAATGTCTTGATAGGAATTCTGGATTCCATTATAATTTTTGCAGTGCACAAAATACCGTATTAGCTATGATAATACTTCCAAATGCGCGAATAACCATAATTTCCTGTATATATTAGCTAAAAGTTTTACTAAGATAATTTAGCCAAAAGACAACTTTTTATAAATGTGTTCTCAAATGATTTGTTTGTAAGGGGAGCCAAATGGAATTGCAGGTGCTGATTTTTTTGACTCCTTATTCTGAATCAGAAACACAAATACCTCAAGAAATCATCTGACTCAGCTTCTGATTTTGAAGCAATATGTTATTATCATCTTCATTTTACTGAGGACTAAAGTAACTTGCTTATTGTCATACAACTAGGAAATAATCAGAGTAGGACAGCTGTTTCAATCTCTACATATATCACTAGCCTACCCTTTTGCCCTACTAATGCTCTTTGCTCCAAGAAACAAATATAAATGATCAGTCTTTTATCTGATTTATAATGTGAACTAATGGTGAAATATTTAAATCTTGATAGACAAAAAAAAAAGTAAGTGCCATTTATAACAAAATAAGACTGTTAACAACTAAAACTACAATTGGAAACATTTAGCACAAATCATGTCTTCTTTACAAATTTGGATCTGAAAACTACAACACATGAAAACTGAACTGAATAAATTATGGCATAAAAATGTAAAAATATAAAGAATAATAAGTAGAAGTTTGTGAAGGAAAAAATTGATCAATGAGTCATCTTTGCTGTAAAATTTACTTCCCAAAAGAATTGGTTTTTCTGATAATCATCTAAGTAAAATAAAAATGAAAAAAAAAAAAAGCTAGAAATTGTTTAGGTAGACTATATAGAAACCTGGTGAAGGAATTAAATTCACTACATTGATTCACTCAGACAAATAGCTTCCCAATGAAAATTCATCAATGTTAGTATAATACTGATGAGAATAATTCCATACTGATTAATAAAAACACAATATCCTTGGAAACAGTTGTGCTCAAATGCCTGGTCAAATTGCCCTCAGAGCCCATGTCTACCATGTCCCAGGGCAGTGCTTTCTCAAAACACATCTCTCAAACTAAGCTGAACTAAAACTTTCTTACAGCACAAGGAAATACATTTTGTAAAATTGCTGCCATGGAATGAGTTTAAACTTTTCAACAGGAACCATCTTACAAATCATCCTATGATTGATGAATACAGTTACTATTAGTGCCTCAAATCTTCTCATGTGGTACTAAATTCTTCTCACATAGCCATCAATAATTCTCATGTTTCATCCCTTTGATATCAATTGATAGCTACAAATTTATGAATTTGAAGACTAAGTCTTAAGTAGCTGTTATCCAAGTTGACTAACATATCTCAATAATAACTCATTTTTACTCAGAACAGTATTTATAATAACTTGGTTTTATTCACTAACAGTAAAAATGTTTAAATCATCACCGTGTGCTCCCTGTTTTTGATAAAAATTGCCAATACTAAGTCAAAACAGCCTTCATTGTATATATTCAAATCTAATAAATCATTTTAAGGCACCTTGCTGAAATAAATCATGAACACATGCATTTTCATAAAACATATACCATCTCTATGCTCTATGTTTTAAAGTAAGAAATGTTCTTATTAATAATTAATATAAAAATAGAAATGAAATGGACTATCTAAGAAATAAACAGCTTACCAAAGCGGATCAGCTATAGCAGCCTCATCAAAAAAGAAAATATACAGGCTGAAAACTCCAACCACTAAAGAATGGCAGGTGGATACCACCCTGAAATGAAATAAAATACAAAGATATTAGATTCTTTGCACCAAACTTTAACTCATTCTGGCAAGACAGTTAGCATTCTTAAGAAGTTATATCTAGAAGCATTTAAATATCGTAGTAGATCCATCTGAGAGTATAATACAAAATTGCCATTTAGAAATCCAAGGCCCATATTTTACTTCGGAATTATTGACAGAAGGAGTGCCCATGACTGTAATCCCCTGTTAGAAAACCAAGGAATAACTTCTTGGTGAAGAGCTCTAAAGCAGAAGCATACGTGATAATGCAGCTGATGGAGTTTTGTACAGACAGATGACAACTGGTAAGCCCAGCATCATGCTTCCAGCTCCATTTCCAACAGGGTCACTGCAGGCTGAGTTCCCTGCTCTTTAAGAAATCAGTTGAGAATGCTTCCAAATCTACTGGCCTTAACCACCTCCTTATCTTAAAACAGAGTCCGGGTGGCAGAGTGGTTAAGAGATCAGCTGCTAACCAAAAGGTGAGCAGTTCGACAGTTCAATCCACCAGCTGCTCCTTGGAAACAATATGGGACAGTTCTACCCTGTCCTACAGGGTCGCTATCAGTCGGAATCTACTCAACAGCAACAGATTTTTTTTTTTTGTATACTTAAAACAGAATTCAAATGGATCATGAAATGAAGATGTATTACCTGGGAGACTTCAGTTTTAAATGTATATCCACATGCATTATTTCACTTGTTTTTTTTTTTTAACAAAGCTGTGAGAAAGCTAGGGCAGCTATTATTAGTGCTTCTTTAAAAGTATTATGAAAGCCCTTCTAAATAGAGAAATTGAGGCCCATATACAGAGAATCCGTTTTTAACAGAAACACTCAAGTGAAAGGAGAATGTTCATAAGATCCAGGTCCAGTTTTCTTTCATAGAAGGAATAAGGTTTAAGTGAAAATCATTAGTTTCTATGAATATATCCTGCTAATTAATAATTTAATGACTCAAATGAAACCCAAACTCTATGATGTTCCACTTAAAGATCTATATGTAGGTTACCATGTATTTATTCACACAGTGAAGTTTTTTATCTAACAAATTAGGGATTCTCACATCTTGATTGAGTTTACAAGTAATGAATTTTCTCTTCATTAAAATAAAAGATGAAAGCAACAGTAAAGATTTCTCTGTAGAAATTACTGGTGTGCAATAAATATCTCTCTACACTATGACCCCAAATCTTTACAAACAACTAAAATATATCAACCAAAATAAACATGATGTTAGAAAATCTCATTGTAACATGAAAAACCAATATATTTAATCTAATAGATGATATGTTCCTAAACAGATGAGTGTAATCCTATTATATCCAATGTTATTTTAAAGTGTCAAAAAATCTCACTAATTTAAAGGGACTGATCCTTTGTAATACCAAAGGATCATTTTGAAGTGTGAATAATTAGCCCAATTTATCTGACTTACAAGTCTGGAATTTTCATGCCAACCACACCTGTATTCCATTTGGTATAGCAAGAGAAAAACGTCAACTCCTTGATGATTAAATGAAACACTCCATCTAAGTAATCCTATAACCAGCTTTCTGTTCCTACTCAAAAATTTTATGAGAGAAAAAAAAAAGCATAGCCTCTCTTACTAACCAGTTTTAGTGTTCAATAACCTTAAGTCCAAAAGTTTCCTTTCATAAGAAGTCTCTTTGTTTCTGATACTCAGGCCTCAAATCCTCTTTTCTGCTGAGATGTTATATGGTAATTGGGATAGATTACAAGCCCTCAGCTGATGGAAATGACATATAATTCATTAATACCAAAAACCCGTTGCCAATGAGTTGATTCCAACTTATAGCGACCCTATAGGATAGAGTAGAACTGTCCAAGGAGTGACTGGTGGATTCCACCTGCTGACCTTTTGGTTAGCAGCCAAGCTCTTAACCACGTGCCACCAGGGCTCCTATAATTCATTAGAGGACAGTTAAATGTAATATGGACCAAACGGTCCCATTATAAGGAACAGAGGAAGCAGATACCCTGTGCTTACATACTATTCTATATTAAAAGTCTATACTTTGACACTTCTCTGTTAGTAAAAATTTCCTATCTTATTCTTTAAAATTAGATTTCTGACAAAGTAAAATATAAATTCATTAGTGTCTGTAAAGAAATAGCAAAATGCTGCCAAAGATAAAATATTGCAAATTTTTTTCAAAGAAGATTAAAAACAAATGTTTGGATTGGACTTGCAGCAAAATTGCACTCTAGGCAGAAGCACCACGCCATCCCTCCACAGCAAAGATCTGAAAAACTAAGCCAAGCAGAGAAAACAGCAATCTTGAAACCCTAAAACATCAAATGAAGAGATAAAAGAATTCAGCCAAGGACCAAATGGAGTGAGAAAACCGACAGAGAATGGAGAGTGAGGAGAGATTCATGCAGAGGTCCCCTATCAGCTAACACAGCGCAGATCTGCCGTCTTGGACTCCTATCAGAGACCAGCAAATAGAGGGTACGAGAAAGCAGCTTCACGGAGTTTCCAGCAGGAGACAAAACAACCAGTAATTTGTGATATATGCTTTCCCACCCCCTACCCGTCTTCACCCCCACTCAGCCTCCTCTGCTTCCCGTGGCCACAGTCTCTTGGCCGGGAAGCACCGGCAGCTTGGATTCCACCCACCCGCACTGGGCGGCTCCCTGAGTGCCATTTGGTGGCTCCTGGTGTTGCTTTTTTCTGCTTCTTTTGATTTCTTCCTTATCTCTCACCACCTCCCCCTACTTTCGCTCAAATATCTGGCTTCGTGCACCATCTTTGCTTCTTCCTGAGGGGCTGCAGAGCTCCGTCTGAGTATGAAACTGTTTCCTGGTCTGGGCTGCCACGCTGGTGGGATCCTGGGGCTTTTTTTGTTAGTTTGATTTTAATTCTGTTTGTTTTCTTTTTCTTTTCTCAAATTGGGGGCCTGTTCTGGCCAGGCAGCCCTGCGCGGCTTGGGACTTACCCCTTCGGCTTGCACAGACACACAGAGAGATTCCTGAGGGCATTTCTTTTCTCGTGGTTTTTTTTTTTTTTTTTTCTGTTTTTTGGGGGCTTTCCTTGTTCTTTTTTTTTTTTAAATTTGTTTTCTTTTCCCTCTTTTTCCCTTTTTGTCTTTATTCATTACTCAGTTTCTCATCTCTCTATACCTTCCTTCTCTTCCTGTTCCCTGAATACCTGGTGCTGAATACCTCTACACCTTCTAGCCAGGCAGTACTACAACACCCGAGAACAACTTCCCCAGAGCTCGTAGCCACACCGGTGGGATCCCTAGGACCTCTGCTGTTCTTCCTTTCTAATTTTTATTTATTGATTCTTTTTTTTTTTCTTTTTCTTCCCCTTTTTGGTTTTCTCCATTTCACAGTCTCTCATCTCTCCACTCCAATGGCAAGCTCCCCTAGCACTCTTTTTTGTTTGCATGTTTTTAGCTCCTGTTCCTCCCTCCTCTCTCCCATATCCATCATAGCTCCAAACATAACAATCTCCCAGCTCCATCCTGCTTCCCTGCAGCGTGTGCCTAACGTCACACCACCAAGCGGCACAGGCACAGCCTACCGAAACCTGCCCTGCACTGATTACTGACTCGCCCTGGTGCCTGTAGTAAGTGCCACAAACAACCCATCCCAGTAACTCCTCTTCAGCTAGACCTGCCCTGCTGTACTATATCTGAGCGACTAACCCTGCCAATTAGAGAAGGAGGCGAAAAGTATCGTGCCCACAGACAAGCAAACAAAAAAGAACACACAGCCCACCTGCTCAGACAACGCCAAATTTTAAAAAAGGGACAAAACAAACAAATCTACAATCAATAAACGAGAATAATAACTACTAAATGCACTGAAGACAGCAGACAATATCAAAACATTTACAAAAGCATGACAGGATGGTTGCAGTAGGAGTCGAAAATAAAATACAAGATGACTTTCCAGTGGAAGAAAAGGCACTAGAACTACCTGAGAGGGAATTCAAATCTCTAATACTCAGAATTATCCAAGAGTTGAAGCAAAAAGCAGACAAAAATGAGGAAAAAATAGACAAATTCATGGAAAAGGCAGACAAATTCATGGAAAATACAGATAAAAAACTGGAATAATTCAGGAAAATAATGCAGGAACAAAATGCCAAAATAAATTCACAGCTAGAAATTATACAAAAACAATAATTAGAAACCCAAAAGATAAACAACAAGATTTCAGAAATGGACGGCGTCATATAAGGGCTGAGGAGCAGATTTGAAATGGTGGAAGACAGGATCAGTGGAATTGAAGACAAACACTTGAATATACCTCTGTTTGAGGAAAACTCAGAAAAAGGAACAAAGAAAAATGAAGAGACCCTGAGACTTATGTGGGATAAAATCAAAAGCAAAAATTTTCGAGTGATTGGAGTTCCAGAACAGGGGGAGAAAACAGAAAATACATAGAGGATCACTGAAGAACTGCTGACAGAAAACTTGTGCAATATCAGGAAAGATGAAAAGCTGCCCATCCAAGAAGCTCAACGAACCCCACGTACGATAGACACCAAAATAAAATCACCAAGGCATATCATAATCACACTCACCAAAAACAAAGAGAAAGAATTCTGAGAGCAGCTCATGAAAAACAAGAAGTCACATACAGAGAAGAAACAATAAGACTAAGCTCAGATTACTCAGCAGAAACCATGCAGGCAATAAGGCAGTGGGATGACATATATAAAATCTTGAAAGAAAAAGATTGCCAGCCAAGAATAATATATCCTGCAAAAATCTCGTTCAAATATGTTGGTGAAATTAGGACATTTCCAGATAAACAGAAATGAAGGGAATATGTAAAAACCAAATGAAACTTACAAGAATTATGAAAGGGAGTTCTTCGATCTGAGAACAAACAACTTCAGCTCACAGGCTGAATCAAGGAAGCAGGATCGTACCAGCCAGATACCAATCTAGGAAATGAACTCTCAAGGACTATCAAAAACCAAAAGAAATACAACAGGGAATCAGAG